ATTCTATTCCTAGTTATTGAATTAATAATTGGTTAGAAACCACCCTCTCTCGCGCCAACGCTGTCATTTGCTTAATTTAAAAGCAATGATAAAGTACCATAACAAGTTATGTCATCTATGCTGCATTGATAGCAATGACTGGCAATATAGATAGCAGTGACTGGAAATATAGATGGTTTCGTGAAAAGAAATTGTTAAAAGTGGGATGAGCCGATGAGGGAACATGGTTGTAAGAGCTAGAGAGGGAGGGCGAAGGGGGAAAGCTAGGAGGAATGAAACAAACTTGTGTCATTCCAAAACATAAGATGAAGTGAAAAAATAAATTTTTCCCAAAACGAGAGGTAAAAGAAATAAAGTCAATGCTTATAACCTGCTGCATGGCATTCTACCCGGGCGCTCCACATGGCATTATCTAATAAACCCAAAAAAAAATTTACTCTTCACATGGCATTCTACCAGGGCGCTCCATATGGTTGGCAAATGCTGTCGGCCTTATGGTAAAACATAAAATCATACGGGATTAGATTGTCATGCATATTATGTTTATATATTTTGGCCACTTCAACCATTTTAATTTTTAAACAAGAGTAATTTCGATATTTTCATAGGTTCCGTTACGAATAATCATTTCCGTTAGTTTGACACTTTAATCCAAATTACAATTGGATTATATGTAGTTTTTGAAACTATAAGGGGTTATGTGAAAATTAACTGTCGGCCTCATGGCAACAAATTCAACTATAAAACCATTGGCGCGATCTAGTGTGATTCTATTGTTCATTGATAATGGATTTACGTGGATGACATGGATAATGCACTTAAGTCCACCAATGTAATTGGTTATAAATAGTCATCCATTTAAAAATATTATGTATTTTTTAGTCATCGAAATCTACTTAGATTTATTTGGATGGATAAATAGACATGGATTCGTCGCATTAGCGTTCGTTTTTAAAATGCTAAAATCAGGAGGAACAAAAAGGTACATACAAGGTGGACTATTATATAAGTTTGGACAAGAATATCATCATCATTTAAAAATGAATCTAAAAATTCTAGGACATTGAATTGAATTAATTCTAACTCTAACTTTCAAATTTCGTAGGTAAATAGTGTTGCTTACACTCCAAGAGTAGTTATCACACTCCACTTTGACATTTATTAAGTGAAAGAAGATTGATAAGTGCATATTTTGTGCATTTTAAGTATTTTTTATTATTTAGTTTTGGAGCGTTTAAGTTATTTTCAAGCTAATAAACTAGATTTCTAGTGAAAATTTGCATTTTTTTGGTTTCATTGTGAAACATTGCATTTGTATGGAGTGAATTAAGAAGATATTTGGATAATGGTTGATGATTTGAAGTGATATAAAGAGAATATGTAGTGCAAAATGTTCCAAAGATAAAATGCAATCAAGTATAAAGGAAGAAATATTTGACAGTTTTGACACATTTTGATATTTTGGCTATATCTTGAGTTAAAAGTATCAAATTGAGATAATTCTTGAATCGTTTTGAAGCTAAGAAATATTTCTACATTTCTTATGAAACATCAAAGTCCAATTCATGAGTTTTCGTGGTCAAAAAGTTGAAATACAGTTGGCCATTTTTGCTACCAAAAGTTAAAATATGAGATTGAGCAGCCAAAGATATTTTGATCATTTCTTAGTCTACAGGACTCCAAATCAGATGATTCTTGATACACTAAAAACTAACTCAAAGGATTGCAACCTTCATGTTTTGCACAAAAATTAGTTCAATCTCCATCATCGAAAAAATATCAGTTGAACTTGGTGTAAAAATTGACTGATCAAAAAAGTTCAAACCGGCAGGGAAGGCAATACGCGGGTACAGTACGCATCCTTAAGAATGTGTATTCTATAAATGTATGTGGAACTTGCACAGCCACTTATTTTGATTTTTCACAAAATTTTATAGCTCAATTTCAACAAGAATTTCAACTGTAGTTGTAAAGAAAAACGATGAGGGGACATGGTTGTAAGAGAGAGGGAGGGGAAAGGGGGAAAGGAGGAATGAAACAAACTTGTGACGTTCCAAAACATAAGATGAAGTAAAAAAATAAAAGTTTCGCAAAAAGAGAAGGAAAAGAATTAAAGTCAATGCTTATAACCTCCTGACATGGCATTCTACCTGGGCGCCTCACATGGCAGTATGAAGTAAACCCAAAAAAAAAATTGCTCTTCACGTGGCATTCTATATGGACGCATCACATGGCATTCGACCAGGGCGCTTCACATGGCATTATGAAATATACCCAAAAAAAATTACTCAAAAAGTGGGAATATATATATATATATATATATATATATATAGGGCAAATTACACTTTGCCCCCTGTGGTTCAGTGCTTTTATACATAATCCCTCCTATGCTTTCAAAAGGTATACATAACCCCCTAATAGTTTAGATAAAAATGTTAAAGTTACGAAATTTGCATTTCATAATTGAGTCAACTAAAATGTCAAAATACAGTTGGCCATTTTTGCTACCAAAAGTTAAATTAAAATTTGACACTAGTTCAAAGAAATGCTAAATCTAGGGAGTTTATTCATGGGAGTAATGGTGCACATTTGTAACTTTAATGACTTGTTCCATGTAATTTTATAGAGGAAATGAACTTGTAATTAATTTTATAACCATGAGAGTAGGTATGACTTAATTATAGGTATAGTTGATTTACTATGAGAATAAGTTTTACCTGCATAAAGAAATTATACTATAACTAACCAAGATAATAGTACTCAATGATCCAAAAATTGTATTTGCATGAATAGTTAGGGATACCATAGCCTAAAGAGCTTTCATAGCTATTTTCTTGCACATTCTAGCTCAGTTTTATTTCCTTCAATTTGTTGATCGTTTAAATAATTGAGGAGTTTTAGTCGTGCTGGTAATTGTCCATTTTTTCCTATGGGTTCGGCCCTTAATATCCTATATTCAATCTCGACTTATATACTTGTAAAAAATCACGTATGAGATATTTAGAATTTTATGAATGTAAAATTTAGCTGTAGAATAAGCTAAATTGTTATATGCATGCCGCATTCTCATCAAGTTTTTGCTACAAAGTTAACCTCATGTGGAATATGCATACTTCAAACTCTTAAATAACCTACATATTGGGTTGGGATAAACTCTAATTCCTGTCTAGACTTGATCTTGAGTTATCATCGAGGAACATGGCAACTAGGGGTGAGCAAAAATACCTGTTAATCCAAAAATTTATCATATCCGATCTAATCTGATCCGAAAATTAGGATATCCAATATATATTATTTGACCGGATCAAAAGAGAATCGGATACCTGTTTAGATACAAGACGGGATAGAATCACATAATTAAAAACCCGAAGGTACCCAACCAGCCTTGCATATATATTTTTTATTTTTTATTTTTATACACATATTACAAAATAATATTTTCAGAGCTAAATAAGTAATTCCATTAAACAAATTGCATTACAAAAAATGGGAGACTATAGTTTGTTTTTAAAATTTATTTGTAGAGGCTATGATTTTATATTTTTTTTAAAAAAAGTTTAATTGATGTGGAATATGTATGTTAAAAAAAAAACTACTACTTATTTCAAATTTTCATTGATTTTGAGTTCTTTTAAGTTTTTTCCTTTTTTTTTGTCTTCTCTTCGAATGTTTGTTTCTTAGTGGAAGATTTTTTTGAGAAATTTTTTTTATTAAATCTTAAATGAATATGTAATATACAAAATTAAATTAGTATAAATCATTTTTTTTAAAAAAATTAATGATAAGTGGGGCTAGATGGGCACCTGTTGACTCGACCTTGTCTCAACGGGTGCCCAATTATCTGATACTCGTTGATATGTGGGGCAAGTAAGGGTTAGAAAATGGTGCATGAGATGAGTACCCCATCCATACCCACTCGTAATGGCAACATGCAATTTTGACACATCTTATTCACTCATCCAATGGGTTTGCCAACCTATGCTAGAGTTGCCAGCTAATAGTGACAGAGCCAAGTTTTTTTTTCCTACGGGATCAAAATTTTTCCTAACAAAATTATCTTAATATGTTATGTTCAAAATAATTTTCATCTATTTAAACATATGACATCTAAAAATATCAAATATTAAATTTAGTTATAAAGAAAATAAAAATTAAGACAAGAAATAACCATTGATTAAATATTTTGTCACAAACCGCCCAACTTGCATATTATGAGGAGATGCTCCAATTTGTCATATATGTAATACACACACACACACACATACACACATATATATATATGTATGTATGTATATGTGTGTGTGTGTGTGTATTTTCAATTAGAAAAGATAAAAGTTATATTAACGTACCTTAAAATTTTAACATCTTCTTCTTAAAAGTAAAATGAGTGTTATGTTCTTTCATAGAATTAAATTTATCTATAATTGAATCAATGCTAAATTTTTCAATAACTTTCTTTTCTATGCACACAGTTAAGTAATCGTTCAAGAAATTATCTTTCATTTTGTTTTGGACCTTTGTCTTGACTATTTTCATAATTAAAAATATCCATTCTGTAATTGTAGTTAATACAGGATGAGTGAAAACAAGTTTAATCAATTAGGCTAAATTGTATATTTGTATATGAGCCAATAAAGTAATAATTATTTTTAGCCCACTGATAATTATGAATTGGGTCTTTTTATTATAGTATGTCAAATTGGGTCAATTTACTATGGATAATCAAATTATATGTTTAATTTTTTGAATGTTAAATAATTAGCACAATAAAACATAAATTTGGAGGCCAATTTTGCTCTACACGTATATTTTTATATTATGAATTAAGGTTTTCAAAACTTGGGGGGCCGTGGCCACCCTCAGCTACCCCCCAACCCCACCCCACCCCACCCAAAAACCGCCCTCGCCAGCTCCATCATTGCAGCGAAACCAAGAAAGTTGACCCGCCTTGCTACTATAAAAACCCTCAACTTCTACCAAAACATTGCACAGCAAAAGCCCTTCTTTCTTGACTAAACCAACAATACTTTTGAGAATATGGGTTCCAAGGCCTCCACAACCACCCTAGCTCTCTTTCTTGCCTTTAACCTTATCTTTTTCACTCAGGTCAGTGCCACGCCCCTGCCTACTTGCACAGCTGTCCTGGACTTGAGTGTGTGCCTTTCTTTGTTGGGGATCCCCATCATAGATATAGGTAGTCAATGCTGCAGTTGCTTTAATAACCTTGTTGACCTCGACGCAGCTGCTTGCCTTTGCGCCTACTTGAAAACTCGGAGCCTCCTCACCCTGGATCTCACAGCTGCCGTTACAGCGATTGTGAATGGCTGTGGCAAGCACTATCCATCAGGGTACCAATGTCTCTGAACAGATTTGCTTGCTTACTGCTGTTGGAATGTGCTTTTCTTTTGTTTCTCAATCATGAATTTACTTCTAAAGAACTCCTCGCCCTAAACAGTGGTTAGGAGTTACTTTGTCGTGGTGATCTCTCACATTTCATGTTTGTAATTTCCAATAAAGTTTTCATGTGCGAGTGAGCAGTCAGCTCTAAGCTTGTATCTTTCCCTGTGGTGATCAATGAAAAGTTAATAAGTTTTTTTTTTTATGTTATATTCATAACGCCATTTTCTGACTCTGTAAGGGAGCATTACGTATTTATAAGCATAAAATTGAGGATTAATGCACGGATATTTCTGTTGTTAGCCGGGAGGCAAGATTATGCTTACTTGCGGTTAAAACAATCCGTGGTTAATTAGCAGCATGCGTTGGAAACATGCCTACAAAAATGGATATCTAATATCTGATTTTCTTGATCGACTAATTAGTACGTTTACGCTTGGTAAATGTCACCTGCAACTTTCCAACCAGGCTTCGCAGCACTCTCCCGTGTACCAACCAGGCTTCGCAGCACTTCCCTATCCTCTTGGACAGACTGTGAAATAGCAACGTCCTAGAAAAATCTGTCCTTTGCCTTTTGTGCTGTTGTGGCTGAGAAAGTGAGAAAACATCAAAACTATGGTGTGATTAAGTTACTCGGATGTTATTTTGGTTTCGGGATAAATTCCTTTTGCCTACAAGCGGCAAAATGGACAAATGATTGATAGACGGATCTTGTTAGATGAATAGCCGACCAGTTTAATCCAATCCAATTATAAGCATTTAATAAATGGATGCAAAGAGGTATAAGATTTAGATGGATAGTGCAAAACTATAATCCATTCATTTGACTATCTATTAGTCCTAGGACTAACGAGATTCCTGTACACTCTACTATACTCTTTTTTAATTCATACTGTACGCTGTTTTTTAGTTACAGTCCGTACAATATCTCTTTGTCCGTACAATATCTATCTCTCCTTCTCTCTCTCTCTCTCTCTTTAATTTATTCTATTCCTAGTTATTAAATTAATAATTGGTTAGAAACCACCCTCTCTCGCGCCAACGCTGTCATTTGCTTAATTTAAAAGCAATGATAAAGTACCATAACAAGTTATGTCATCTATGCTGCATTGATAGCAATGACTGGCAATATAGATAGCAGTGACTGGAAATATAGATGGTTTCGTGAAAAGAAATTGTTAAAAGTGGGATGAGCCGATGAGGGAACATGGTTGTAAGAGCTAGAGAGGGAGGGCGAAGGGGGAAAGCTAGGAGGAATGAAACAAACTTGTGTCATTCCAAAACATAAGATGAAGTGAAAAAATAAATTTTTCCCAAAACGAGAGGTAAAAGAAATAAAGTCAATGCTTATAACCTGCTGCATGGCATTCTACCCGGGCGCTCCACATGGCATTATCTAATAAACCCAAAAAAAAATTTACTCTTCACATGGCATTCTACCAGGGCGTTTCACATGGCATTATGAAATAAACCCAAAAAAAATTGCTTAAAAAGAGGGAATATATATATATATATATATATGTGTGTGTGTGTGTGTGTGTGTGTGTGTGTAGACACTTTATCCCTTGCGATTTGATACTTTTATACATAACCCCCTATGGTTTCAAAAGATATATATAACCCTTAATAGTTTAAATTAAAGTGTTAAAGTGATAGAATTTGTATTTCATAATGGAGTCAACTAAAATGCAAAAAATATCCCAATGTAAAGTTAAAAATTATTTGTTAATCACAAGGGACTTATGTATATATTTTGAAAACTATAAAGGGGTTATATGATAAAGTACTAAATCATATAGAGTTATATGGTAAAACATAAAATCATACGGGATTAGGTTGTCATGCATATTATGTTTATATATTTTGGCCACTTCAACCATTTTAATTTTTAAACAAGAGTAATTTCGACATTTTCATAGGTTCCGTTACGAATGATCATTTCCGTTAGTTTGACACTTTATTTCCATTTAAAAAAAAAACACGCGCGCACACAAATACACACACACACAAGCGAATCTTTAGTTTATTTATGATGTAAATTTCGTTGAGACAGGGACCGAAAATGAAAATGATTGGCGAATGCTGTCGGCCTTATGGCAAGAAATTCAACTATAAAACCATTGGCATGATCTAGTGTGATTCTATTGTTCATTGATAATGGATTTACGTGGAAGACATGGATAATGCACTTAAGTCCACCAATGTAAGTGGTTATAAATAGTCATCCATTTAAAAATATTATGTATTTTTTAGTCATCGAAATCTACTTAGGTTTATTTGGATGGATAAATAGACATGGATTCGTCGCATTAGAGTTCATTTTTAAAATGCTAAAATCAGGGGGGGGGGACAAAAAGGTATGTACAAGGTGGACTATTATATGAGTTTGGATTAGAATATCATCATCATTCAAAAATGAATCTAAAAATTCTAGGACATTGAATTGAATTAATTCAAACTCTAATTTTCAAATTTCGTAGGTAACTAGTGTTGTTTACACTCCAAGTGTAGCTATGACACTCCACTTTGACATTTTATTAAGTGAAAGAAGATTGATATGTGCGTATTTTGTACATTTTAAGTATTTTTTTATTATTTGTTTTGGAGCGTTTAAGTTATTTTCAAGCTAATTAACTAGATTTCTAGTGAAAATTTGTAGTTTTTGGTTTTAGTGTGAAACATTGTATTTGTATGGATTTAAGTGGTGAAAACTTTATGTTTTTGTAGGTTTTAATAATTCAATCATCAAATGGAGTAAATTAAGAAGATATTTGGATGACTGTTGATGATTGAAGTGATATAAAGAAAATATGAATTGCAAAATGTTGAAAAGATGAAATGCAATCAAGTATAAAAAAGGAAATATTCTATAGCTTGGACACCTTTTGGTATTTCGACTATATCTTGAGCTATGAGTATCGAATTGAGGTGATTCTTGAACCATTTTGAACCTATGAAATAGTTCTACATTTCTTATGAAACATCAAGATCCAATTCATGAGTTTACATGGTCAAAAAGTCGAAATAGAATTGGCCATATTTGCTACCAAAAGTTAAAATAGGAGATTGGGCAGTCAAGAATATTTTGGTCATTTCTCAGTCTATGGAGTTCCAAATCAGATAATTCTTGATGCATTGAAAACTAATTCAAAGGGCAGCAACTTTCATATTTTGCACAAGTGTTAATTCAACCTCCATCATCGAGAAAATATCAATTGAACTTGGTGCAAAAAAAACTTGATAAGAAAAGTACAAACCTGCAGGGGAGGTAATACGCGGGTACAGTACGCAACCTTAAGAATGTGTATTCTATAAACGTATGTGTAACTTGCACATCAACTTATTTTGATATTTCACAAAACTTTATGGCTCAATTTCAACAAAAATTTCAACTATAGTTGTAAAGAAATGCGATGAGGGGACGAGGTTGTAAGAGAGAGGGAGGGGGAAGGGGGGAAGGAGGAATGAAACAAACTTGTGACGATTTTTTCTCAAAAAAGAGAGGGAAAAGAAATAAAGTCAATGCTTATAACCTGCTGCATGCATTCTACCCGGGCGCTCCACATGGCATTATGAAAGAAACCCAAAAAAAATTACTCTTCACATGGCATTCTACAAGGGCGCATCACATGGCATTATGAAGTAAACCCAAAAAGAAATTACTCTTCACGTGGCATTCTACATGGGTGCATCACATGGCATTCGACCAGGACATGGCATTATGAAATATACCCAAAAAAAATTACTCAAAAAGAGGGAATATATACATATACATATATATATATATATATATATATTGGGCAAATTACACTTTGTCCCTTGTGGTTCAATGTTTTTATACATAATCTCTCCTATGGTTTTAAAAGATATACATAACCCCCTAATAGTTTAGATTAAAATGTCAAAGTGACCAAATTTGCGTTTTATAATTGAGTCAACTAAAATATCAAAATCCAGTTAGCCATTGTTGCTACCAAAAGTTAAATTAGAATTTGACACTAGTCCAAAAAAGTACTAAATCTAGGGAGTTCATTCACGGGAGTAAAGGTGCACCTTTGTAATTTTAATGACTTGTTCCGGCCATGTAATTTCATAGAGGAAATAAACTTGTAATTAATTTTATAACCATGAGAATATGTATGAATTAATTATAGGTATAGTTGATTTACTATGAGAATAAGTTTTACTTACATAAAGAAATTGTACCATAATTAGCCAAGATAGTAGTACTCAATGATCCAAAAATTGTATTTGCATGAATAGTTACGGATACCATACCTTAAGGAGCTTTCATAGCTATTTTCTTGCACATTGTAGCTCAGTTTTATTTCCTTTAATTTGTTGATCGTTTGAATAATAGAGGACCTTTAGTAGTGCTGGTAATTGTCCATTCTTTCCTTTGTATTCGACCCTTAATACCCTATATTCAATCTCGACTTGTATACATGCCCCATTCTCGTCAAGTTTTTGCTACAAAGTTAACTTCATGTGGTATATGCATACTTCAAACTCTTAAATAAACTACATATTGGGTTGGTATAAACTCTAATTCTTGTCTAGACTTGATCTTGAGTTATCATCGAGGAACAAGGCAACTAGGGGTGGGCAAAAATACCTGTTAATCCAAAAATTTTCCATATCCGATCCGATCTGATCCGAAAATTAAGATATCCAATCCATATTATTTGACTGGATCAAAAGAGAATCGGATACCCGTTTAGATACAGGACCGGATAGAATCACATAATTAAAAACCTAAAGGTACCCGACCAGCCTTGCATATATATTTTTTATTTTTATTTTTATACACATATTACAAAATAATATATTCAGAGCTAAATAAGCAATTCCATTAAACAAATTGCATTACAAAAAATGGGAGACTATAGTTTGTTTATAAAATTTATTTGTAGAGGCTATGATTTTATATTTTTTTAAAAAGAGTTTAATTAATGTGGAATATGTATATTAAAAAAAAAGCTACTACCTATTTCAAATTTTCATTGATTTTGAACTCTTTTAAGTTTTTTCCTTTTTCTTGTGCTCTCTTCGAATGTTTGTTTCTTAGTGGAAGATTGCTTTTGAGAATACTTGTTTCTTAGTGAAAGATTTTTTTTGAGAAAATTTTTTATTAAATCTTAGATGAATATATAATATACAAAATTAAATTAGTAAAAATTATTTTTT